ACATGACACCCTGCTCATGAGCTGGTGACCAAAGAAACATATGTATAGATTGCAAGATCTCAAAGGGGAACTTTACTTCTAAAGACTATTGATCTAGAATCTAGTGTCTAGATCTAGGTCGCACCGGCCACATTTCGAATTTATGACTATATGAGGAGGCAGAAAACACCATTAACAGTGCAAAGCAGCAAGCACTCAATCACTCCCAGCGTAACCCAGGCAGCGCCCTGGATGACATTGACATACACAGTGACAAGTGGTCATCATCAAATGATAATGGTTGGACGAATGAAATAGATATTTATTTTTCATCATCTGAACAAGTTAAGGGTTGTCACAGTAATTTTGGCGTTTGAATTTTTATAGCTTGTAATGGTTAGTCCTAGGAAAAAAACTGGAAACATCTATAAGCTTGTCATCCAATTGTAAATAAAAATAGATATTATATATTGTTTTGTTACGCTACGCATAATTACAATCAAATATGATGTTAAAGAGTGTCAGGTCAATGAGGTCCAGCGCTAACATTAAAGAACATCCTTCCCCGCTGTGTACACTAACAAACACTTCATCATATAGTATTTAAAAAGAATAATATTTTACTAATAATCAAATAATGGCAATATCTTCAATTATGCCAAGTCATTGGTTTTCCTGGTTGACTCAGGTAACACCATTCCATGCTCTAATAGCACTAGGGAAAAAGGCGTATTTGTACAAATTTGTTCTAGCATATGGAATAAGGAATCTGCCTGTAGACATAAAGAATGGTCCTTTGAATTATTGAATAAGGCTTTAATGAAAAATGAAACCTAGTTCAGTTACTATAGCAGTATCTCTAGAACTGCAGCCGGAGATAACTTTCCGCTATTTCAGCGTCAGGGCTTATTGGCTTAATGATTCCATTTGTCATTAGGTTCACAGCATTCTTAGATGAAGATTTAGCTCAGTCATGATTTCTGCAAATAAAACTTCTGCCTTGTTTTTTTGTTTTTTTCATTTTAAATTAATTCGATGCAAAATTGGGTGGCTTACTAAAACCTGTTATTAAGGTACCGCTAGTTTAACAAACAGTTGATATGTTATTAATATGTATATGTCGTTTACAACCGTACCGAATTGTCCTGAATGGGAAATACTAATTTTACTTAAATATGAAAATAATAATAATAATTTTAAAATCCGCACTTTTTTTTTTCTTTTGGATTCTAGTCATGAATAAATCTTTATATAAGATGGCACACAATATGCTACTAGGTAGATTAAGACTTATATTCTTAAGTATATAATATAGAGGGACTTCTTATTGACCGACAGTTATGCTGGGCAGGGCACGTATCCCATATGGGGACGAACGTATGCCAAAAGCAGTCTTTTTTTTGGTGAGCTGAAAGATGGTCGACGTAACAGAGGTGCCCCACGGAAACGATTTAAAGACCAGCTTAGGCGCCAACTTGCTTTAACTGACATAAGAGAGAACACCTGGTTGCTGGCGGCTTCAGAACAAAACAGCTGGAGGTCACACATTTGAGACTCAAAGAAAATCCGCTATCGAGGAGTGATGTAAACGCGAAAAGAAAATTTACATCGACAACCGGTGGACAATGGTTATACCTGCGCTAGATGTGGCAAATTATGTAGGTCGCAGTTGGGACGGCGTAGCCACATGAAATACTGCATTCCTCACTATTCTTCGGACTCAAAGACAAGCTTTATCGTTATAATATAAAAGTAAAAACTCAATGAATTACACATATTATTCCTGATCAGATTGAAACCACAATGACAACGATTGTCTTATAAAAATTCTGTCCAAAGGAACTCCGCTTTAACTAAGAACTAGATACTGGTATCTAACATCAAGAATAAGAGAATCTAGACCCAACTTAAATAATTAATAAATTAAACCATTATTACCAATCAGTTAAATATAAACATTTTGAGGTGCGGGGGTGTGAATTTTTTTACATTTTCATTCACATAGGTATCCTAAGTAGGGAGTGTTTTAAATCATACCAGCAAGGTCTAAGACCCAAGAATGTGCCCTTGAAAGAAACTTTGAACACGTCTCACGTCGAACACTAATCTGTTTTGATCTTCAGTTAACTAATATGTCTTAGTGAGAGAAAAAACAAACAAACAAAAACAACAAAACAAACAAATAAAAAAAACACAAAAAAAACTGCAACATGAAAATCGGCGATGTTCTCAGTAAAGAGACTATTTAATCTGTACAAAATTAAACATTTTAAAATATCTACTTACATGGTATATTATAGTACAGAATCTAATGTTTGTCATTGTTACTGAAAATATCTAAGCTAATCAAAGAACAAATAGAATGTACATTTCCATAATTGGAACATTAAAAACAGATTTAAAAATTATTTCTATTAAAATATATCTTATCTTTGAATTGTAGCAAGCTTACTATTCTTCAATTGTAATTAAATGCATCAGAACAGTATCATAAAAATTTAACTAGAATTTAATTTACTTCTAAATTTTAGTACAAGAAAATGTATTTATCTCATTTTGTTCTGAGCAAGTGTTTTGATGGAAGAAGTGGGGGATTACATTTGTATGTACGATGTTTGTACGATGGAAAGAGGTGAAGCTTGAATGAATTTTTCTATTGAAATCTATATTATGGTATATTAAAAGTTACTTGAGTACATTTAATATTGTCCAGTTATTTTATAGTATTTCTCATATCTCCATTCCCTTCCTGCACTTGCAATGTAAATGAAATTCCTGTGTGACATTGGATTTTTTTAACCATAATGAATCTTTTCATTATTGCATTCTAATTCCGATTAAAGAAATTGGAAGGTTTGAAAAACTATAAAACAAAGTGTAAAATATTCTTAAATCTGACATTGTTACATTTAGTTTTATCTAAAGGTTGGAAGATTTCTGATTTATGCAACAATGTTGGTACTTTGGTGCCAAAATAAAAAGATATTTTAATAAGATTTACCTTCATTTCATGTGTACTTTCATGCTTTTTTTTTTACTAAAATTTTTTAAATATTTTAGCATTGATCGTCAGAGGATTAAGGATTTTCTGATAGAGAGAGAACAAACTGTAATTATAAATAGCTCCAAATCAACACCAATAACAGTAAACTCAGGAGTACATCAAGAAATACCGTAGTCTGAAGTCTAACTACTATTTTTAATTTACTTGAATGATTTACCAGTTTGCATTAGTTCAGGAACAATGTCAGATTATTTGCAGATGATTGCATTATAATATAGAACAATAAAAACAACACAAGATATAGAAATTTTACAAAGAAATTAGATGAATAACAGAAATGGAAATCAAATTGGAGCATGTCTTTCTACCCAGAAAAATGTCAGTTGTTAAGAGTAACAAAAAAACAAAAAAACTAAAACAAATAAATTCCACTTATCTTATTCATGGTAGACCAGTAGCACATATTAAAAATGTCAAATACTGTCATGGTATCCCCATATTGAGGAAACTATTAAAAAATCAAAACAAAGGATTAGGGTTTATTAAAAGAAATTTCTACAAATCAACTAAGAACATAAAACTAAAATGATATTTAACCTTGGTTAGGCCAGTAATAGAATATGCACCCTGTTTGGGAAAGACACAAAATAGAGCAGTGAGATTCATAACAAACGAAAAATTAACATTTTACTAGAATAACACCTTTAGTAAAATCATTAAATTTAGAGGGCCTTCAAGATATAAGACTTGAAAGTTAAGTAGCAATTATACAAAAAACACTGAAAAAAAATCTTTAAAATACAAAACCTAATAAAATATTCAGAAAAATAAAGATAAAGGCACATTTGTAGAAATGCTCTTTCTTCCCTAGTGCTATTAAAGCAAGGAATGGGTTGCCTGAGTCAGCATGAAAACTAAGATTTGGCAGAATTTAAGTCATTGGTTAACATGCATGACTTGATTGACCTAGGAACACGCGTAAGGACGTAATCATCTTTTTTGAAGTAACATCTTTATTTCACAAGATAAGATGGTGACTTAGTTTCTGGCATAACTTATTTCTTATAACAAATGCAACATTAAATTATTTTTTTTTACCAGTATGAATCTTATGGGTTTTTAAGGTTGAAAGTTTAGAAAATTCTCTATCACAAATACTACATTTCAACTGTCTGTTACCACAATGAATGGCCTCATGGCATCTTAAGTTTGTGGAATAAATGAATTCTTTGTAACAAATTTGACATTTCAATGGCCTTTTCCCAGAATGAATCATTTCATGACATTTTAAATTTCTGGAATAAGCAAATTCTTTTTCACAATATTGACACCTAAATGGCTTTTCACCAGAATGAATAATTTCATGCTGTTTTAAATTTGAGGACTGTGTGAATTCTTTTTGACAAATTTTACACTGAAATGGCTTTTTACCAGAATGAATCGTCTCATGCTGCTTTAAGCTTCTCGCACGTCTGAATTCTTTATTGCAAATTGGACATTGGAAAGGCTTTTTGTCTCAATGTATTATGTCATGGTATTTTAACTTTCTGTCATTGCTAAATTCTTTTTGACACAAATAGCATTTATATGAACCTTTACCAGAATGTATGATCTCATGATGACGTTTTAAGTTTGAAGGTGTGATGAAGTCTTTATCACATGTATGACATTTAAATGTTTTTTTATCAGAATGCATATTCTCATGGTCTTTTAAATTTGAAACTCGACGGAATTCCTTCTGACAAAATGAACATTTAAATGGCTTTATACTAGAATGAATCAACTCATGGCGTTTTAATTTAGAAGACGTAATAAATTCTTTCCTACAAATAAGACATTTAAATAGCTTCTTACCAGAATGAATTTTCTCATGGTTCTTTTTTAAGTTTGAGTGCCGAGTGAATTTTTTTGGACAAATTTTGCATTTAAAGGCATTTTTACCTGAATGACTCATTTCATGTTCAATTAAGCTTGAGGCATGACAGAATTCATTAAGACAACTATGACATTTGAACAGTTTTATTCCACAATGGTATATTCGGTAAATTCTAAGTAATTTATTTTTAACATTTGCTTTTGACACAAGTCACATATAAAAAATTTTCTAGCACTATTAACAAAATCACATTTCTTTAAAATTGATAAAGTACTGGTACTTTCTTTACATAATGGAAATGGTGAGTCTGCATTAACTAGCTGGTGAGTTTCATTTTCCTTGGACTGATTTGGTCCAGCATGCACATCTTTGTGTTTCTTGCAAACATATCTAGATTTAAACTCATTTCTTGACTCAAATTCATTATTCCTTTCTGCAAAATGAAATAAATAAATAGCTGACTATTGCAATTGGTATATTTTAAAAATATTACTACAAAAAAAAAAAATCTTTTTTAAACCCAAATAACTTGAATTCTGATGAATGTAGAGTCAACTTTAGACTCCAAATGTAGGTCAAATCAATGTAACAGAAAGTACCTGCAGCACACTAAAGTTTTGTATATTGGTATCATTAGCACTCCATTTTTCATTCAGAACTAAGATAATTTTTTTTTTAAAGTGAAATTCAGTATGTGTTTATATCTTTTTATTTTAAGATTTTCAACTGAAAGTGATGATACCACAGTTGCTCGGACATCCTAAGAAATTATTTATGAGGCCTTTTTTTCTGTTGTAAAGTTCAAAGTAAATATTTTTTAAACTTGACATACTGTTTTAATTTTAATTATTATTTTTTTTAGTTATCTTCCTTTGGGAGTTAGTGCGAGAGAAAGAGATAGTGATGCACTAAAAAATAATTCAAAACTAGGAAACAATAAGCATTGAATACGTAAATGTCCTTCTCTTGAACAATAAGAAAACAAAATTTCAAAAGGAGATTAACTTACAAACTAACTTAATAATATAAGTGGTCAACGTCTCAAGTTGAATGCTATCAATGTTGTTACTTAGTGTCTAACTTGTCCTACTTTTAGTGCTTCAAATATCTGTCTACGATATAGAACAACCGTTGAATGCCTAAGGTTTAAATATCTAGTAGTTCTAAATTTTAGAAACCACATTAAATAACTAACGAAAAAAAAATAATAAGGCTAGTCTTCAAGCCCGAAGATAAGTGAGGAATGCAATACTGCGCAGTCCCAGCTGTGACCTACATATTTTGCCACATCCAGGACAAGCACAACCATTGTTACATACATTTCCTGTACAACACAAGAGTATAGAGTCTTTCAAAGCTTCAACTCCTTTATCTCCATAAGTATTTTCCAAATTCTGGTGAAAAGTCTTTTTGCCCCCATTCACAGTGCATTACAATGTTTTGATTAAAATTATATACTGATGTTTTGATTAAAATTATATACATTAACTTTTTTTTTTTTTAATCAGAAAAAGACAAATGTTATGTAGAATTAGAGATTAGAGTATAATCTTAATTTTAAGCATGCTAAAAAAATTATATACCGGTATTTAAATTTTCGCTTTTGAATTTAATCTTTAACTCTTGAAAACCATTTTATTTCTTTCATTTTTATCACATATGCCTATTTATAAATGTCATACTGTTTTTTCTGTTTGTTGGAACATAGATTTGTTTATAAAATTTTGTTGGAACTTGAATGTACTACAAAATAATTTATACTTTATTGTTATACAAAGTCACTGTAAAAAAAATTAGGTAACATGAGAGACGAAAAAAAAAAGATTTGATTTCTTTTAAAAATTGACTTACCCAAGAAAAAAAAAGAACATCCCAACAGTCCTTATTCATTATTATAGTAAAAAAAAAAAATTAAACTATATCCAAGAGTATACAAAAAAAACATAACACTGTCAAACGATCATTATTTAGACTTTTAGTGACCCTTTTAGACTTTCTACTAGGGCCTGGATGGGGTGACGCCCATTTGGTTAACTAGATCTAAGGGTGTCTAAATGTAGATATATTTCACTATCAGACTTGCTTGAATCTGATGGCTGAAAATCACTTTCAGAGCTTACAGGACAACTTTCTTATGTCACTCATGTAACTATTATTCATATCTAAAAAGATATTTAGAGCCTTATCAGCAGTGAAGAGGCCTAGAGCCAGACAAAGAACAAGAAGGCTTGTCAGCCATGCAAACAAATGAAAAAGTCACTAGTCACTTTGGCTAAAAAATATTTAGAAATAAAAACAGCTTAGACCACAATGTTTCAGAAGGGAAAAAATATCGTTCCCATAAACCAATCGAGTCATTTTAAAATGTGCACTAGAAAAGAAAAAAGGAGTAAAGAGGGAAAAGTTGATCAGACGCTGGTAGTGTCATTTCGGTAAGGTGCTCATGGCACTTGACACTGGTAGTGTCATTTTTGGCATTGCAGTCAAGTGTTAAAAATTAAATACTCCCAAGCAGTTAAGAAAAATGCCCATCCTAATCTACATAAAAAGAAATATATTTTTCTATTATTATATTCATAAAATTCTATACTAGTATACATAAAAAAAAAAAAAAACAACAACATAAAATGGTAACTGATGCTTATAATCCCTAAAACTTGCTTTTTTAACTTGCAAAAATTTACACTGAACAGTATATATTTATATATAATGTTATTAAGTATTTACACTTATATTTATAGATAAAAAAAATTGCTTGGCTTAGCTATGATAAGCTTTAAAGCAATCCATATGAATGTGTGGATTAGAATCACAACCAGCACAAACATAAACTGTTCTTCCTGACCTACAATGTTTACACACTCTGTCCTTTTTTACGTTCATGGGCACATGTTTAGCCCCAACAAGTCTTTCTAGGGGACATGGACGTCCTCTGCTTGATTTTGATATCCTACACTTCTCACTCTCAGGAATAACTGAGGCGGCATATTCTGTAAGTCTGTCCACAAGATTCAGTTTAAAATTTCTAAGTGAAAATCTTGCTGAGTTTCTCTGGTCTTCTGACCTTGTTTGTTTAAATAGTATAAAGGCATTTATGGTGCTGATTTCTATGATCCAGAAAAAAAGCTTTTTCCACCATTCCTTTGACTTTTGATTGTGATAACCATAGTGTCCAAGGAGCTGATCAGTTCGACCACAACTGTTCATGTACTGATTGTATTCGTTCCAAATTCTTGGCTTGTTAGGGTGTTTCTCTTGAGTATTTTCAGCAGCTGCATTGTTGGATACAATATTAATAATATGTCTTTTGGCTTTTTTGTCTTTAAAGGCCATGCACAATAAAGAATTGTCATCATTTATCCAGTACTTGGACTCCATAGTTGCCATCTTCAACCACTTGACTTCTGGTGGAAATCCAACCCTGTTGACTTGCAGTGTTCCAGTGAAATACATTTTTTTCTTCTGCAAGAAATCCAACAACAATTGGGATGTGTACCACCTATCAGCAAAGATGTGATATCCTCTGCCAATATTCTTCAAAAGTTGTTTGAATATTTTTTTAGCAATGCCACCATCTTCATCCATTGATGGATTATAAGATGCATTGACATCATCATAGTATATCAAGAGATTATACACATAGCCAGTTGCACTATCCACAAGTCCAAAGCTCTTGATATTATACTTAGGTGGTTTGCTTTGATTAATTTGATTATAAGCCCATTTTCCATTAAGCCCAACAATCATTTCATTAACAGTTAAATGTTGGCCTGGAGTAAAAGCCTTTTTAAATCTAGTAACTAACGACTCAATGAAAGGCTTAATCTTGCATTTATCTTCTGCATCCACCTCAAAAGCATGTAAAAAGCAGTGGTAGAGAACTTCAAATCTTTCTCTCTGGAACATTTGGGTAAACCATGGTGTGTACAAGCCTTGATGCGTTGACCAGTAGTCTCGCATAAATGGACGAGAGTTCAACCCCATCATTGTAGTCACAGCCAGAAATTTGTATATTTCATAGCTTGTAACTGGTTTCCATGCTCTAAACATTGACCTCCTACGTGCAGGGGTATTTAACTTAGTCCTATGGTTGGCATAATTATTTATTGTGATGACAAGACTATCCACAACTGAACTGTCAATCAGAGCAAAAAAACAATCTAGATCATCTGATGCAGCACTGACTAAATCCAGGTTCACTCCTACTTTTTTTGCAGGAACAAATTTAAAAGTATTCTCTGTTCTAGTGCCTGGTTCTGCCTTTTTCCAATCAGAAGAACATGTAGGGACAACTAAATACATTCTACGTGGAACTTTAGCTGGGGCTGGGGCTGATAAACTTTCATCATTACTATAACTAGATTCACTGGATGTTTCATCTGAATTGGCATCACCATCAGATAAAACAAAATCACTGTCATCTGAATTATCTTCAATAACAATTCCTCTAGCTTTAGATTTACAAACTTTAGTAGATTGATCATCAGAAGGGCCGGGATGAGGTTCCGTGTTCTAAAACAAGCACAGAGAGAGAAAAAAAAAATCAATTTATGTAATCGGTTTAAACACCTCCCTTCTAAGTGAAAATTTAACACCTCCTACACAGGGAAAATATGTTAAAGAAAAAATTCTGAATGTTTAGCAAAAGGAAACAATTCAAGATTAAATTAAAACATTTAGCATATAATAACGAAAATTAAACTAACATGTTTTAAAGCATTGACAATGGGAGCATCAATAAAAAAAGGGAGACCATTTAGGAGAGAAAGAGTTAATACTATACCATCATAATAAAAATGTTAAGTTTTAGGTACATGGCCTTTTGAAAATTCCAAATGCTTAAAATACTTTGATTGAGGTGCCAATTTCCCTTTATTTCACATAATTCTTTAAAATGCATTCAGGTCTACATGGTTTCTTTAGATTTTTTAAGGTGATTCTTCTTTATTGTTCTCTACACTAAAAGGCTATAGTATTATTATTATAGCTTTTACATAGCGGTACTTTCATGCTTATAGCGCTTTGGTCCAATCTCAGTTGTGGACCAGTGGGGGGAGGGGGTATCTAGGAGTATGTTTTCCATGCTGCCTTTAGGCGCTAAGTAAACACAACTCTGCCAGAGTTGGGTGTCGAACCTCGAGCCCCCTTCATAGGTAGCCAAGTCAAGCTAAGTTCAAGCTTACTTAACCTCTCGACCATGCTTCCCACAATATATAGTATACACTATAGTACAGAAACACAAGCTTAAAAGCTATGGCCACATTTCAAGATCTTAGGGGCTCGCAAAACCTTCCTTCAGGGAACAGTACCAGGAAAAAGAAAAACAGGCAGACAGAGAAAGCGATGGGAGGACAACATAAACAAGGCAAATGAC